GAAGGGGATGAGGGTCGTGACGGTGGAGCCGCACCGGCACGAGGGCGTCTTCATCTACCGCGGCATGGAGGACGCGCTGGTCACGCTGAATATGGTGCCCGGCCAGTCGGTGTACGGCGAGCGGCGGGTCACGGTGAACGAGGGCGGCGCGAAGGTGGAGTACCGCACCTGGAACCCCTTCCGCTCCAAGCTGGCCGCGGCCATCCTGGGCGGGGTCGACCAGATCCACATCAAGCCCAAGTGCAAGGTGCTGTACCTGGGCGCCGCCTCGGGCACCACGGTCTCCCACGTCTCCGACATCATCGGCCCCGACGGCTTGGTCTACGCGGTCGAGTTCTCGCACCGCGCCGGCCGCGACCTGGTCAACGTCGCCAAGAGCCGCACCAACATCATCCCGGTCCTGGAAGATGCCCGGCACCCGCTCAAGTACCGCATGCTCGTGGGGATGGTGGATGTGATCTTCGCCGACGTGGCGCAGCCCGACCAGTCCCGCATCCTGGCTCTGAACGCCCACACCTTCCTGCGCAACGGGGGCCACTTTCTCATCTCCATCAAAGCCAACTGCATCGACTCCACCGCGTCGGCCGAGGCGGTGTTCGCCTCGGAGGTGAGGAAGCTGCAGCAGGAGAATTTGAAGCCCCAGGAGCAGCTGACCCTGGAGCCCTATGAGCGAGACCACGCCGTGGTGGTCGGCGTCTACCGGCCCCTCCGGTCCAGTTCCAAGAGCCGCAGCAGCAAGTAGGGCCCCGCCGGGACTGTCCCTGAGAGGTCTCCCCCAGACCTTGCCGCCTTCAGTGTTACCATGTCTGTGTTTTCTTTGTGTGCTGTTTTGCTCTCCTTCGCTTAACTATTAAATGGCATAAAGAAACGGTATCCACTTGTATCCGTGAGCCGGACTGGGTTTTGCTGCAGAAACAATCCCTACAATAGCTGGGGATGGGGCCCATCACGCCAATCAATCAGGGCAGTGACTCCCAGGGGCTCACACAGGCTTCCTCAACCCCTGGGGGAAGGCGGGAGGGTCAGGAAGAGCTGGACAATTGCTAATGAGCTTGTAAAGTTGCCCTTGGAACTGAGGGGCACTTCCTATACTTTGACCAAGTCACTAGTCCCTCCAGGAAGGGGCGTTGGATATTGATAAACAGTCCGATAGCCTAACACACCCAGTCTGTCTTTCTCCCACCTCCCTCTGCTACCCTTTTCTTAGATTTCAAAACAGCAAAACAAGGTGGGGGGAAGGGGCGAGGGGAGGAGGGAGGAAGTGGATCCACCTCCCAGAATCCCACTGTGAGGCATCACATACCCAAAGTGGCATCGCCAAGTGTTGAGAAACAACTGGAAAAATGACTCCCAGGAAGACCCTGTCTCTGAAGAGCATTTCCTGCAGACCCTGAGCTGCTGGACTTGGTGCATCTCATTATGGTTCTCACTCCAGGGAGAGTGAGCAATGCCTGGAGCGCTGGGCATGCTCCAAAGGAGGCCTTAATAAGGCCTTTCATTTATTCATTCACTCACACATTTGGAAAATCCCCATTGCCAGTTGCCAAGGTGGTGGCCCCGTAGCTGGGAGTGACTGCTCGCTAATGCAGCGTTGGGAGAGTGGGTCCCTCAGACCTGCTCGGGCAGAGATAACGGTTAGTCTGCGTTTTCTGAGGACATACTTTTTAACCAAAAAAAAAAAAAAGATAAATCAGATTTGTAATAAGGCAGCCACCCCTTCACTCCTCCCCCACCCAGTCCCCCACCACACCCACACAGCTACAAAGTGGGGGTGGAGGGGGGAGCTACCATTCAGATTTGTTGGCCAGACTGATTCAGGAAGACGAGGGTGGATGGAGTACACATCTACAAAAACCCGAACCAAGCATTTCCATGGAGGGTGACCTCCTGCCCAGCCGGTGTGGCTCAGTGGTTGAGCGTTGACCCATGAATCAAGAGGTTGCCGGTTTGATTCCTGGTCAGGACACCTGCCTGTGCCTCAGTACTGGGTATGCAGGAGGCAGCAGATCAGTGATTCTCTTTTATCATTGATGTTTTTATCTCTCTATCCCTCTCCCTTCCTCTCTCTCTAAAAATCAATAAAGGAAACAAACAAACAAAAAAGCAGGTCCTAAGGGAAAAAAAAGATAAAATGTAAAGTCTTCATTACAACCCTACAAAGCAAGGATCCTGACTCCCACTCCACAGGTGGGAGACCGCAGTTCAGACAGATGATGAGCTTTAGCTTAAGATGCCCCAGGTAAGGTCCCAACCAGAAACCAGAGCCACAGAAATCTGACTCCAAACCCTACGGCCCTTCCACGGAGGTCTATGCTGGCTCTCGCACTTTGAAAACCCTCTCTCCAATCCTAGGCTAATTAATTCATTGCTGGGTTGAAACCCTGAGGCTGGAGATGGACTCCTAGGGCACAGAGAGATTCCTTTCAAAACCTCACAGGACCCAGCCCTTCCTCAGACAGCTCAGCCTCCACAAGCAGCCCTGGGTTCTTTCTTACAGGTGTCTGTGGCCCAGGAGGGGGACAGAGCATGGGGACCTGGCTTCTTTCTCCTGCATCAGCACTCACACGCGCACGCGCGCGCGCACACACACACACACACACACACACACACAGACACACTCTTCAGTCTTTGAAGTGGGACCACATTGGACACAGGGCATGAAAGCAACCTCCTAAAGAGTGTCTCTGCATTGCAGATGGATTCCTGGCCAATGGAACGACACGGTAAATACCAAGAGGAATATGGGAGTCAGGACTAAGGGACGTGGAAGGGAAGGTCCAGGCTGGAGGCCCCAGTGGGCAGTGAGGCCCAGGACACAGGTAGCAGTGACACCGGCCCCCGACCTGCCCAGAGCCGAGGATGTGAGAGTTCCCAGGAGGCAGGAAATGGGGTCTCTAAGTGTCCTAGGCTGCTCAGCTGTCACAACAAAACCCTGCAGTCTGCGTGGCTTCTGCAATGGACATTTATTTTCTCCCAGCTCTGGCGGCGGCAAGTCTGAGGTGAAGGTGCCAGCAGGTGGTTCCTGGTGGCGCCTTCCCCCTTTGCTGCAGGCTGCCTTCTCCCTGCGGCTCCTTCGGCCTTTCTCTGTGTGCGCCTGGGTGGGGGTGGGGCGGAGAGAGCGATGGAGGGAGAGGGGAGGGGGAGAGGGAGAGCGGGGAAGAGCAATCTCTGGCGTCTCTCCTATTTTTTTTTTCCTTCTTATTTAATTTATGAGGATGACACTTGTTAACAAAATCCTACAGGTTGCAGGCGCACAATTCTGCAACACATCATCTGTACCCTGCATTGTGTGCCTCGCACCCCAAGTCAAGTCTCCCTCCATCACCACTTAACCCCCCCCTACACCCTCCTCCCCCTCCCCCACCCTGCGCGTTCAGACCCTTATCAAATTAGGGCCCCACCCTGAGGTTCTCATTTAACCTTAATGACCGCCTTAATGTCCCCATCTCCAAATACGATCGCCTGGAGGGTTAGGGCCTGGACATTTGAACTGAAGGCAGCACCAGTCAGCCCACAACCCGAGGGCTGGAGGGGAGCTTTCAGCTACAGGAGCCCGCCTCACCGGCTCGTGCGTGAGGCCTGACGCAGGAACAGCCGTGCAACCTGAGTTACCTGCACGGAGCCCTGCGTGCCGTCCCCCCTGTCTTTCCTCTCAATGTCAGTGTAAGGTAACAGGCAGCTGAGGACTGCGAGTTGGCAGGAAGGCCGGGGGTTGCGTTGGGGTGGCGAGGCGCTTACAGGCCTCCTGAGAGGTCTGCTTCCCATGAGGAGCTGGCGAACTCGCTGTGAGTGTCAGAGGACAAGCAACTGGAGCAATCACTCCCGCAGCAGGTGCGGGAGGGAGGCTGGCGCTCAGCCGCGGGAGCTGAACCTCGGGCCCACAGCAGGCGGCAGGGGCCAGCGGGGAGCACGCAGGTCCGACCTCCCGCCGGCTGCCTCTGGGAGGAAGGGAGGAAGGGAGGGAGGCTGGGGAGGGAGAAGCCCCGGGGAACGGACCTTTGTCCAGAGGAGACTGTCTTACACCAGCTGAAACCCCTTCCTTTAAATCGGCAGTTCGCCTCCCAGCTGCAGCCCTGCTCTGAGCGGCAGGCCGCACGTCTGAGCCGCAGTGAGTACGCTCGGGTTCTCCTACATTCGTATTTTTCAAGCACTTCTGTCCTAGACAGAGCGGGCTGAGCATGTCTCTGACTTTAACATGCATTGTTTTAAAACTAAGAATGAGAGCAAGCACCGGAAAAACCGAGCCGGAGATGTTCAGCCTCATGCATGGCAGTGGAATGGGCGCCGGCGTCCGAGCCCCCCCGACGTTGGTGGGGCTGCCTGTGCGTGGCCTGCACCTCTGTCTCCCCATCCTGGGCCGGCGCACACCCTGGGAGGCCTCAGGAGCCAGTTTGCAGACCCCCAGGCCTCAGGCCCCAGGGGAGTTTCAAACAGCCTCCTTCAAGCCACGCCTTGGACTTGCCTTGCAAGTGGGCGCAACGTCCCCTCTCAGGAGGATAGCCTGGGGGAGATGAGGAAGCGGGGTTCCCTGGGCCTGAGGCTTGACCCACAAGCAGGG